TTTCTTGGTTGCCTTTTCCTTCCTGTGGGGCTGAGAGAATGTGACTTGGCCAAGGCCACCCCAGAGGGTTTTATGGCTGAGCTGGGACTCGAACCTTGGTCTTCCAGAGTCACAGTCCAACTCTCAAACCACTGTGACACTCTGACTCAGCAGCAATGTAGACATTTGTTTATTTCTCAAAACGACCCTAAAAGAGCCACTTCCCTTGCTTTGGGATGTTTTCCCTCTTCTGTCTCCCTATCCCCACCCCGCCAACCTTTTTCAATGAAAGGGATTGCCTTGCCTTGCCTTTTTCTTCTCCTTCCACTTTGCCAGCAATCCTTTTCTTGAGAAAGGATTGGGGTGATTCAGGCCGTAATTTGGAACGGGGTGTGTGTGTGTGTGTGTGTTTGTAAAATTAAGATGAGGTATGGCATTTTCCTTGGCTGTCTTTCTGAAAGTTGACAGGGGAGTTTAGTGCCTGGCAAGAACCACCTTAAATGTGAAACGCAGGCTGCCTTTTTTTTTTGCCTGTGGGGTGTAGAGTTACCAGAGAAATCTGTCATAAGTCTTCCCACAACAGAGATCCTGTCTGGCTGGGCTTTCCTGGCTCTCCATTTATTTACCTTGTTTTTATAACAACAGCAACAACAACAAATTGGAAATTTGTGAGAGCCTTCTTAAAATCTGAATACAATCCTCTTATGAGTTATGTGCTCTTCTTCTGTTTATCATTGGTATAATTTTGTCCTAAAGATGTGGGCCTAAATTCATTTGCTGGAATAAAGCTGTTGAATCAGTGGAATTTGTATAAGTATGGATTGAATACTTTCTCACTGATTCAAGAGATCTACTGTATTTGGGACTAGAGAGAGCTGATAGAGCTGAAGCGTGTCCAGAGGAGGGGCCACCACAATGGTGAAGGGTCTGGAAACCATCCCTTATGAGGAGAGACATAGGACGTTATCACACAGGGAGTTGCGGGGAGAAAGTGGAAATAAACGAGCACGAGCGGAAGTCTTTAATTTATGGGATTTGTCCCGTTCCGCCTCGTCTGATAACTAAATTCGAATTTAAAAGGAGGTTAATTCGAACAAAAACCTGATCTTTTCATTTCCTCAAAAATCCCTAAAATGAAAAGATCAGGTTTTCGTTTGAATTTACCCCCTTTTAAATTCGGATTTAGTTATCAGATGAGGCGGAACGGGACAAATCCCGTAAATTAAAGACTTCCGTTCGTGCCTGTTTATTTCCACTTTCTCCCCGCGACTCCCCGTGTGATAACGTCCTAAGGGAGCTGGGTGTGTTTTGCCTGGAGAAAAGAAAGTGATAGGGTGTGTGTGTGTGTGTGTTGTGTACCTTCAAGTGGCTTCAGATTTATGGTGACTCTAATCTAACCTATCATGGCGTTTTCTTGGCAAGATTTGTTCAGATTTGTGTTCTCTGCCACAAAGAGGCCTGTGGCTTCACTGGAATGGAGTCAAACAGAATTGCATAAGAGGGGTCCCTGTTGAGATGCAAATGGATTTTAAATTGCCTGGACTTTGCAAATCTATGGCCACAGAACCAGAAGGAAGAGGAGGAGGAGGATCCTGCCTGCAAAAGATGTCCTCCCTCCCCACCATATACCATTTTAACTAAAGACTGAAACAACATGTAGGCATCTGACGAACATCTCCAATTGTTTTTCTCTTGTTTGGTTTGTAACATGTTGCCTGATAAAGAAGCCCATGGAGCTTCAAAAGATTGCAACAAGTATATTATGCATTTTGGTTGACCAATAAAGGTATCACTGATAGATTTTTGTTTGAGTTAGTTCAGAGGAGGTTTGCCATTGCCTTCTCCTGAGGCTGAGGGCATGTGACTTGCCCAGGGTCACTTATGGCTGAGCTGGGAATCAAAACCTGGTCTCCAGAGTTCTGGTCCAATGCTCAAACCACTACACCACATTGACATTCAGGTGATATGATAGCCTTGTTTCAGTATTTGAAGAGATGTCACGTAGAGGAAGGAGCAAGCTTGTTTTCTGCTGCTCCAGAGAACAGGACATGAAGCAATGGATTGAAGCTATAGAAAGAAACATCAGGAGGAACTTACTGATGGTAAGAACTGTTTGACAGTGGAACGTGCTGCCTCAGAGAGTGGTGGAATCTCCTTTTTTTGAGATTTTTAAACAGAGACTGGACAACCGTCTGTCAGGGGTGCTTTTGATTGTGTATTCCTGCATGGCAGGGAATTGTACTGGATGGCCCTTGAGGTCTCTTCCAACTCTGTGATTCTATAATTTTGAGAACCTGAACCCTGCCTAGAAGCCAGAATGACTGAACTGAGACTATTGTACTTTGGACATATCAGGAGACGACATGTGTCATTAGAAAAGATGCTAATGTTGGGGAAAGTAGAAGGCAATAAGAGAAGAGGAAAATCACATTGTAGATCAAGGAAGTAAGAGCCCTGAGTTTGCAAGACCTGAGCAGGGTGATTGGTGGCTAGCTTAATGAAGGTTTCTCTTCTAAGGGCTCCCATAAATTAAAGCTGACTTGATGGCATATAACACGTTGGGACTAGCAGTTGGGGTTTGGCCAGGCTATTGGGATGGCAGTGGTAATGGAAAGAACTGCAAGCACAGTTGACATTTCTTAACCACATTTCTGAACTTCAGCCTTCCTGTAATCTTCATGATTCAAGTGGAGTGTGGAGATCAGGAAGTCAGTTTGATGTCATAATATTTGTTCTTGTATGCCTTCAGATATTTCTGAGTTAGTCCACTCTAAGGCGACACAGTCATGGGGTTTTCCTGTTCATGTTGCCATAATGGATAACAGTTTCTGAATGTTATCATGTAGCTCTGTCTTGTGATTGATTCTTGTACTTAAGTTTGTGTTTAAACTGTGTTTTATTCTTTTAACCAGTGATCTGTTTTAATTCTATTTTAATGTTTACTTTTGTATGTTTTTAATGGTACTGTTCTCTTAAATTGTAAGCCATTCTGGGTCCCAGTTTTGAGAGAAAAGCAGGTTATAAATAAATAAAATAATAATAAGTCCTGCGTAGTTCGTTGGGACTGAGTTCTTTCTACACCTTCTTGGAAGTAAAACGGCATGGAATTGGAAGTAAAACGGCGGGACCAATTTCTGAAACACAGGCTTAGATTACACAACAGTGCTTATACAGTCATTCCTCCTCGTTTGCGGACTTCCCATTCACGCTTTTGAGTTTCCACGGATGACAAGCCAGGAGGGACAAAATGGTGCATGTGGAACACTGCATGCAGAAGCGCACTGGCATTATAGTCAATGGGGCTTGAATATCCATGTTTTTTTCTGTTTAACCGGGGGGCGGAGCGGAACGCATCCCCCATATATAGGAGGGATGCCTATATATCTTTCATAGAATCACATATACTAGACTTCTGTGTGTATCAACCAAAATCTGCTAGAGCTAGAACAGGAATTCTTCCCAAACCCTAAATTTAGTAGAAGAGAGTTGATTGATTGATTTTCACCTTGGCTGCATTCATTTGCACAAATTATATAACAGATGATGGCCCAGTCTCATGGACTCTGCTAGGTGTTATTACTGGCTTCGCTTTGAAAACAATTTTGCTATTTAATGGAAATTTCTTCTTGACATTCACTGCCTGGTTTTCCCTTCCTTCATCATGTAATTATTACATTCAGTATAATGGTATGTCACAACATAAAATATATTGCCCTAAGGCTACTGTGTTGAACTGCTTATCAGCTTTGTCTAATTTTGACCACAGCCATATTATTTTGTTGGCACTTACGCTGTTAATAAATAACATACAGTATTCTCTCAATAAAACCATTATTGGTATCTGTGGAGTGATTTTAAATTCTGCATGATGCAAATCTTGATATAAAACATTTAATGTTGGTATGTTGTTTTAAATATGAGCCCATTCTCATATTTGAGAATCCTGGCATTCACTTTTCTTTTTCTTTTCCCCTCTTTAACGAGTATAACATCAGGTTTTTTTTGTTGCTGTTGTTGTGTTGCACAAGTCATTTTTGACCTATGGTGATCCTTCAGGTATTTTAAAATCAACCCAAACCTCTAAGGCTGCAGTCTGATAACATTTACCTACGTGTGAATTCTGTTGGTAAGGTTTATGTCTTGAATAGACATAGACTTGTGCTGTAAGAGGTTTGTAAGCAAACCTAAACATTTAACTACACTTGTCCCTCCACATTTGTGGCTTTGACTTTGCAGATTTGATTATTCATGGATTTTATTAATATGTGCTCTCTAGGAATATCTAGCTCATCCAGCACAACTCTGTGGTCAACTTTAACCTTGAGTCGTATTGAAGGGCCTAAGCACAGTTCTATGGTCAATGTCTGGCAGATGTTAACCAGAGTTGTACTGGAGGACCTATAGATTCCTAGAGAGATTCCTAATGGACTGAGTGAGGAAAAACAGATTGAGATTGAATCCAGGTAAACACACTCTCCTCCAAGGGCTGTTCGCAGTCTGGGGGTGCTCCTGGATCCGTCGCTCCAGATGTCAAATCAGGTAAATGCGACGGTCAGGAGCGCTTGCTATCAGCTTCGGCTGATCTGCCAGCTGTGCCTTTTCCTGGAAACTAGGGATCTTGAAACTGTGGTACATGCACTGATAACCTCCCGTCTGGACTTCTGCAATGCGCTCTACATGGGGCTACCCTTGTGTTTCACCTGGAAACTTCAATTAGTACAGAATATGGTAGCCAGGTTGGTCTCGGGAACAACTAGGAGAGACCATATTACACCTGTGTTAAAATCACTTCACTGGCTGCCTATTAGTTTCTGGGTACAGTACAAGGTGTTGATTATTACCTTTAAAGCCCTACATGGCTTGGGTCCAACCTATCTCTGGGACTGCCTTCTTCCGTATGATCCACCCTGAGCACTCAGGTCCTCTGGGAGGAATTTGCTACAGTCTATGCAAACAAGGCTGTCTGCAACCGCCCAGAGGACTTTCTCTGCTATCGCTCCCAGATTATGGAATGACCTGCCAGACGAGATCCATCTTATTGCTACCGTAGACAGTTTCAAAAAGGCTGTTAAGACAGATCTCTTCTGGCAGGCCTTCTCTGAATAGTCATTCCGGCCCAAGAGTTAGCTAATTCCTCTCCTTTTGAGCCACTGCCACTGTGATTGTG